AAAATTGCTTTAGATCGCTAATAATGAAAGATATTTAAATCATTTCACATCCCCAAATTGGCAAAGATGACAAAAGATGGGAATAATCAATGTTAGAGGGGTTGTAGGAAGACAGCCATAGAGATAGAATACACTATAGATGGTGAATGGTCCAACTACTCTGAAAAGCAATTTAGAATTGTGCTGAAATAAAATGTCCATGCCCTTTGACCTAGACATTTTACTGCTAGTCATAGAACTGAAGGAAGTCAAACACCTATGTACACCAAAATATTCGCAGTAGTACTTGTAGTAGAAGCAAAACACTGGAAATGATGAAATAAGTGAAGTTGAGAAAGGTAAAGCTAATTATAATTACAAGATTATGGATTTAAAGCTGGAAGAAACTTCAGAAGCCATCCCTTCATTTTACAGATGAAGAAACTGAGAGCAGGGGAAATGACCCTTACTGAAGGTCACAGCAGAGGCAGAATTGGAACACAGGTCCTCTGACTTCAAATCCAGTGCATTCCTCATTGTATTGAGGCAACGCACTTAGTAAGTGGCAGAGTAAGGATGCTGTTGGTAATACTGCTCCTTAAGGGACATGGTACCAAGAATAGCTGAGAGTGAGTTAAGTTCCACTGGCCTACTGAATGCCAGCACAGGGTTCTTTCCCACCATACCCATTTGTCTCTCTTCAGAATTTTCTTTGTTATTGTACAATGATAAAACACCCTCACTGTAGACTTTAGGATATGGTGTTTTTCTTGATTTAGCCTCTATATGGAGACAGCCAGGTGGCACGATGGATAAAGCATTGAACTTGGAGTCAGGAAGAGCTGAGTTCAAATGCACCTCGGATACTCACTAGCTTTGGGATCCTGGGCAAGGCTACCTTTTTCAGCCTCATTTTTTTAATCTGTAAAATAGGGATTATAATAATACCTACCTCCCAGAGCTGTTGGGAGGATAAAATGAGATAATATATGTAAAGTACTTTGCAAACCTTAAAGTGCTGTATAAATTTAGCTACGATTATGACAATCACTACTGGGCTTATCGGCACATTACTGAACATCTATGCTTTCCAGGTAGCAGAGCTTAGCAGCACCTTTCACTTTTCTGCAAGGGATTAGGATGACAGGATCTAGATGTGGAATGAACCTCAAAGACTCTGTGATCCTGAGTCCCTTATTTTACACATGTTCAAACCAAGAACCAGAAAAGTTCAGTGACTTGCCCAAAGTCTCCCAGACAATAAGAGCCTGGATTCACCCCCAGATCCTCTGACTCTTCTGCTTTATCGATGACTTTTTTGGTAAAAGCTGGTACATGGCCTTAGGTTTTTCACTTATGGATAGGACTGAACTAACCCTGAAGGAAGAAGGTGGCCTGGTGCAGTAGAGTAAGCATTAGATGTGGGAGTCGTAAGACCTAGGTTCAAATCCTACCTCAGACATTGTGTGACCATGTAAAAGTCAGAGCTTCTCGGGGACTTAGTTTTCTAAGAATAAGAATACATAATGTAACAGAATAATATATGATCCTATATAATAATGACAGCTAGCATCTATATAGTACTTTAAGGTTTACAAAGCACTTGTGTTATCTCATCTGATCCTAACTACAGACCTGGGAGGTAGGTGCAATTGTTCTCCCTATTGGGGAAACTGAAGCTAAGTAAGAAAGATTAAGTGACTTGCCCAGAGTAAAGTGTTTTGCAAATCTTAAAGTTCCATATAAGTGGTACAGTTGTTGTTTTGTTATTATTATTCCTTTGCATTTTCAGAACTCAGATGGGTTAATGGCATTAACTTACCAAGACTGTCAAAATGGGACCTAGCCTTGGAGTCAGGAAAACCTGGGTTCGAGTCTTGCCCCTAACACACAGTGGTTGGGTGGTGATGGGACTGGAGATATGTGGCATAGTAGTAAGAGCATAGGGTTCAGATTCTGCATCTGATGTTTATCATATAACTGGAAAAGTCCATTTAATTTCTGTAGGCCTCAGTTTCCTCATTTGTAAAAATAAACTAGATAGACTCTGAGCTCTCTTCCAGCTCTAAATCTAGGAGCCTAAAATCACCTCACCTCCTTGGGCCTCAGTTTCCTCATCTGTAAAATGAGGAGGTTGGACAAATGATTTTCAAAGTCCCTTCTAGCTCTAAATCTACAATGTGTTATTAATTGCATGGCTTGTGAGGACTTAGGAAGGAAGTGGTGATCACTAAGGTCCAGCAAAAATAGGTTATATTAGGCCAACTGTATTTCTTTTCCTTTTTAAAAATATGGTAACAGCCCTTAGCAGCTAGACAATCAGCTAGCATTTATTAAGCACCTACTATGTGCCAGGCACTGCAGTAAGTTCAGGAAGTACAAAGAAAGGCAAAAACCAGTCCCTGCTCTCCAGGAGCTCAGAGTCTAAGCTTAGCAGGGTGCCTGGTACATAGTAGGTGCTTTTTTTTGACTCGACTTGGCCAGTCAAGGGAAATTCTACAGTTATAGAATTCCAGTATTTCAGCAATGGATCTGAAAAAAAATTTCCCAAGAAGGACAGATGCAGATTAGATAGTGTAGCTATGTAAGTGCCTGACTGCCAGAAGAACCAAACCTAGAGTCTTTGTTATTGGTGCCATGACCACTATAATGGGGAATCCCTGGGATCTGTCCTTAGTACTGAACCTTTCAGCATTTTTATCAGTGACTCAGAAAAAGTCATTTATGATACGCTTATTAAATTCTCAGAAGACATACAACTACTGGGAATAGTTAGCTGACAGATGACAGAGGAAGGCTCCGGAAGGATCCTGAGATAGAATTATGGGCTGACTCTAATAAGATGAAATTTAATAAGGAGATATAGATATACCTATGTATATCTATATTTATATAGTCCTATACTTGGGTTAAAAAAGCCCCCAATAACTATAGTAAGGAGGCAGGCACGTGGCTAGAATTTTTAGTAAGCTGTAAACTTAGCATGAACCTACAGTGTGGCGGGTCTTCCTGACCTCATGGGTAGTTCTCTATCCACTACGTTCTGCTTGAATCTCAAGTGTTATTTCAGAATCTGATAAATCAATGGGCTGCCTCCTATAGTGGAGACAATGCTGAGTCAGGGATAGTTGGGTTTAGTTACTGCCCCTGGTCCTTATTGAGCAACCACAGATATCTTTCCTTTCCAGATATTGTCTCCATTTTACAGATGAGGAAGTGAGGCTCAGGAAGATGAGGTGATTCCCCTTAACCTTTCTGAAACTTGCTTTCTTTATCTGTGAAATGGGATGAGAATATCTAAAGCCTACTCTACTTAAAGGTTTGTTGTGAGGCTGAAATGGCTTTATTTGGGGAAAGGACTTTGTAAAATGTATGGTACCAATGTGCGTTATGGCGATTTTTTCTGTTAGGTGTCTATTCAGTGAATCTGCATGTGTTGAATCTATCATCCAGAAGAAGAGTGTATATGTAGATGTATGACTTTATAGCTCCATGTATAAAGCCCTTTATTTAGTGACATTCCCTCTGAGGAAGAAGGTTTAAAAATTGTGCCTCTTTCTTCACAGAAGTATTGGCTGGTTAGGTAAAAGGTGCTTAACTCTATGTGGCTCAAAGGATAGTAATGTGGTGATAGGGATCATGGTTAATCATTCACTAAATGCTTAGCACATACCAGGCTTTGGAGACACAAAGACAAAACTAAGACAGGCCTTGCCCTCAAGAAACTTACATTCAGTTGGGGGTAAACATCACCTAACTATATAAGAAGAGGCAAAATAAATATGGTAACATATAAAATATTATACATAAATAGATACTAAATATACAGAGTAATTGATCAGCACATGTTTTGGGGAGAGAAGTACTAACAGTGCTTCAGGAAAGGCCTTGTGTATTAACTTGGGCAAGTTATTGAACTTCTCTGTGCCTCAGTTTCCTCATCTGTAAAATGAGGGGATCAGGCTCAAGAGCCTCTGAGACCCCTTTTAGCTCTAAGTCTGGAATCCTGTAGTCTTACGATCTTTTTAAGAAGCAAGGGAAAAAAGGAGAATCTTTGTAAGACAAAACTACCTAACAAAGACTAAAAGTAAAGTGAATGTATAGTTAGGAAGAGGGGTTCATGGGTTCGGGCAGAAAGCAAAGGATTGTGAAACAGACTTAAAATCTGAATAGGCCACCTTTGTAGGCCTCTTTTCTCATCTATAAAATAAGAGGACTGGTTTGGGCTAGCTGATTTCTCTTGACTCTCCCCAGCTCTGTTATAATACGGAAGTAATCTTTGATGTCATCAGCATGGGGAGCTCCTGGTATGGGAATTTCCTCTGCCCCCTTCAGATTGTAACCTCATGTATGCCATAGTGCACTACAAGGTTACAGCAGTAGATCCAGAAGGGATTCCAGAAGTCATCTAATTCAACCCCTTCACTTTACAGATGAGGAAAACTGAGGCTTATAGTGACTAAATGACTTATCTAAGGTCACACAGCCACTTAGTGATAGAACTGAGATTTGAATTTTGCCAGAACCTTCTTTTTATCACATCATACAGCCTATAAGATCTAGGGAGTGAGTTGATTGGGGGCATGCAGAATATACAAAATATATAAGATTTTTTTTTTAGAGGAGTTGGAGGAGTGGGGAAAAACTGGTAGCTGACAGGGACTAGAAAAGAACGTAGGATGTAAAGAACTTTCTACGTTCTATAACCTGGGTGTCCTCTAAATCTTATTCAAATTTAATCTATTTTATTTATTCTAACTCATCTATTCAAACTATTCAAGTTTAAAACAGTACTAAGATTTTGGGATGCCCCCACATTAGGTAATTTGCCCAGAGTCACTCAGCTGGGAAGAACCAGGGGTAGGATTTGAATCCAGGTGTCCCTGACTCTCTCATTAGGACCATGGTACTGCTATGTGTCTGCTGCCACACTGGAAATCTGTACTTGGCTTCGTGCCTGCTGGTTTATAAAGTAACCTCAGGCACTGTTCTTAATCTACTGCCCCACCAACCTCACATACCTTATTTGTGGCATCGATAAATTTGACTCCTTTATAAGAGACCGAAAGGATAATCGTAGGGACTTTCTTCATCTGCTCTGTAGATTTCTGAAAATAAAATTAGAAAGCTGTGAGGACAGGACATGTTGCCTGGCAACTGAAACACATAATTTTTCCTCTTGAAAGATTTAAATGAACTAAACTTATATTACACACACATACACACACACACACACACACACACACACACATACACATCTATTCCCCCACAGAACACACTCTAATTTACATGTTTGTCTCTATTCTCTTGGGTTTTGACTATGCTTCAGGCTTATAAAGTGTCTGTCTTGCACTTCAAAAGCTAAAAAAAAGTCTCTGTTGCCAATTAGTGGGAATACTCTTCTTCCCAGGCACTAAAAGAAAACAAGGAGTTCTGTCCCCTCCTGCATTTCTAGAGTTTCTTGCTCCTAAGAGAGTTAGTGAAGCCATACCTGGTTCACCCTAAGGCAGGAGTTACTAACCTTTTATATGTCCTGTACCTTCTATGCATCATTTTTTCCATATACTGCTTAAAAGCATTTAAAAAATGAAATAAAATAGAATTTAAATAAATTTAAAAATAAAAATAAATTTTAAAGAAGCATTTAAAAATTTATAAAACAAAATACATAAAATTATAAAGGAAACCAATTACCTAGTTATCAAAATATTTTTTAAAGGTCCCAAATCCAACATTAAGAACACCTTAGAAGCAAAGTTTTAGGCTTTAAAAATAAGAAAATAATGAGTACATATTATCCTTTATCCCTTTGTTCTTCATTCAAAACATATGGGTTTCTAATTAAACTTAATACATCAATCCTTGAGGAATCTGTGGTTTGATCAATGTCAGTTATCTCTCCACATATCCTCTAATGCTTAATTATGGAATGGAGGTGACCCTGGGTTCTTGTTAAGTACTATGTATGACAGCAGAGTATAAAGTGTGGAAGTTTCTGCCAGCTAGAAAAGTTTTGTGTAAATTCTTTAAAAGGATGCATTTAATATTTCTGCTTTTCTTCATTTGGTTGTGAGATTTTTATGCCCTAATACATGGTCAATTTTTGTCAAGGTGCCATGTACTGCTGAAAAAAGGTATACTCCTTTCTACTCATATTCAGTTTTCTCCAGAGATTGATCATATCTAACTTTTCTAAAATTCACCTCATCAACTTAACTTCCTTTTTGTTTGTTTTGTGGTTAGAGTTATCTAGTTCTGAGAGGGGAAAGTTGAGGTCCCCCACTAGTATTGATTTATTGTGTTTCCTCTGGTAACTAATTTAGATTATGTAAATTCTTAACAATGAACTATGACTGCTTGCTGAGGCCCAGCCTAGTTCAATGTGTTGAGAGGCCCATCAGAAGTAGACTGGCCACTGAAAGATGAATTCTTTAGCTAGGATAATTCACTAATACCCAGTTTCCACTACTCTAAAACAACAGCCTTCTGAATTTTTCTTGAACAGGGTCAATCTTTCCCAAAAATGCAACTTGAACTTTCAGCAAAATCTTATTAGGCCGACCAGCCATCCCATATTCCAAATCCCTTAGATGAATGAAACAGTCTTGTAGTAATCAGTAACAAGCAAAGTGAAGATGCATAAGCACTTGCTTGCATTCCTTCATCATTTAGACCCGTTCATCTTCTTAGGTTAAATTCTTATGAGAAATTTTCATTTTTTAAAATCAATGTACTTGGAACTACAGTACCTTTGTGTTTGGCCTTGGTCATCAGTGTTTTAGCTCTGCATGTAATTGATCAGGTACTCTTGTTTTTTGCCTTCGGTACTGGTGTATCTACGTGTATATATAAACATATATGTGTATATATATAGATGAATATGCATGTATGTACACGAGCAGGTGTATATACATACATGTTCCTCTAGGTGCAATGTTTATTACTGTTCCCAATTCATCTTTTTAAACATCATTTCCCCATCAACACCCTTCCCCTCTACCCTATAGCATTAAATATCAAAATTTACCTACCTGACAGTTAGCCTGATGGATTTTCCAGGTAAAGCAGGTAGGAGAACAAGGAAGAAAACACATGGAAAGGTAAGAGAAAAGCCTTCTTAGCAATCCATCAAGAACTGAATCAGTTTGCTGAAGACAGTCACTTAGGACTTCGTACTCAGTACTTTGGACAAGACAGCTAACCTCTTGAACTTCAGTTTCTTGATTTGTAAAATGAGGGGCTTGGACTAGGTGACCTTAGCACAGTGCCTGGCACGTGGTAAGCACTTAAAAATTATCTGTCAGTCTGTCTACCTATCTGTCTTTGAGGTCCCTTATAGCTCCAGACTGAGATCTCTAAATAATGTTGCAAAATGGAAGAAGCTATTGAGATGTTCCAAGATCTGGACCAAGGCCTTCTCATTTTAAAAATTGCTGTGGGTTTTTACCAACCCGGTCTCTCTTCTCCTCTCTCGGTTTACTCATCTTTACTCCATTTGCATGGCTGTCTCACTACTGATATGCCGGAACCTTCTGTTCTGAGCTCCCAGCACCCAGCTCACTGCCTTATGTAGGCCAACTTCTTGGCTCCCTCTCATGTGAAATTTCATCAGGAAAAAAAAAATGCCTAGCCTTTCTTCCTGGCTGTCTGCTTCCATTGCCCAAGCTTATTTCTGAAAACTCCGAAATGAGATGAGGAATTGGAGGTCTTTTCAGACGCAGTTGGAATCCAAACCTGCTCAATTCAGCAATGATGCTGCGATTGAATCTTTCATCTAAGCCATTCTGCTGTGATTTAGACAATCTTTTTTTTTCTCATTCTTCAGACACGACGTCTTTTAGTTATTCATTCATTTCTGTCCGTTAGCAAATGTGTATAGCCTTCCACATAAAGAGAATTAAGTAGCCAAATGTTAAGTTTCTATTGTTCCTATTTAGAGTTTATTAAATAGTTTACACTGCATTGACAAAAAGCAGCCATTTTCCTTGTGCTTTCAAATGGAATTTGAAATGATTCCATTTTATCATTTTTCTTTTATGCTAGCTGCTACCTTTTTTTTGGTGGGGTGCATGGAACTGTGAATTCATCTGCATAGAGAAGTCCTAGTGTGGAAACTCTCTCTACCAATGAAAATTAGCAACTGATAGCATAATAAAAATCATATATTTAGAACTGGAAGGGACTTCAGAGACTATTTAGTCTAGCCCATTCATTTTTACGGATGAGGAAACTGAGGCATCGAGAGGTTATGTGTCTTGTCCCAAGTCGCTCTGTAACTCACAGTCATAAACAGGTGCCTGAAACACTGAGAAGTTATTAAAACTAATGAGTCAAAGAGAGGACTAGAATCCAGGAGGCAGCACGGCATGGTGGAAAGCATGCTGGATTTGTAAAAATAATGACCTGGGCTTGAATCCTGGTTCTCCCACTTAGTTATGCGACTGTGGACAAACTGTTTTACCTTTCTGATTTCAGTTTCTTCACCTGTAGAAGGAAGTAGTTGGACTAGATGGCCCTTCCAACGCTAACTATTGTAACTATTGTTCTATGATCTTTCCTGGTTCTAAATCAACGATCCTAAATCCTGGTGTCATGAAAAGAGCCCAGGCCTTCACCTCAGAGGATCTGGCTTTCAGATCTGTCCCTGATGCTTATCACCTGTTTGACCTTGGGCAAGTCACTTCACTTTCCTGGGCAGGTTTCACTTTCCTTATCTATCAAATGAGGGGGTTGAATGAAAGGGCATCTAAGATGCCTTTTAGTTCTAAATCTGTGATCTTATGATCCACCCTGGCTCTAAACCTGTGTTTTAAATTCATCTTTCTGAAGTCTGTCTTATCTACCTCGCCATCTGCTACATCTCCGTAAAAAAAAGAGAAAACAAAATGGATAGCCTGCTAGGTAAGATCAGAGGATCATCATTTAGACCGGCAAGGTTTTTCTCAATGCTTTACTTCTGTCGTCCTTACATTTTTCCAATGCTTCTCACCGTTCCTGCCCTTCCGCAACCAAGGTAGAAAGAACCCAAGCTGAATTAATGTCAGGACCAGTAATGAATAATAATAACAATAATAATAATAATAATAATGATAATGCTCGGGTATGCTAATTTCCCTGGAATTGACGCTGTAAAGAAATCTCTGGCAGACAATGAGTTACGCAGTACACATAAGCTTTTATAAGCAATCCAGTCTGTGGCAGATTTTTGTCTTTCAAGAGGGGGAAACATCAGAGATTACAGGGGTTAGAAAGGATTTCAAAACATGACCTTCCAGTCCAGGGGTGGGGAACCTGAAGCCTCAAGGCCACATGTGGCCCTCTAGGTCCTTAAGTGCAACCTTTTGATTAAGTCCAAGTTTTACAGAACAAATTCTTTTATTAAGGAGATTTGTCTGTGAAGTTTGGCTTCAGTCACAGGGCTGCACTTGAGGACCTAGAGGGCCACCTGTGACCTTGAGGCCACAGATTCTTCAGCACTGTTCTAGTCCATTCTTTCTTTTTGTAATCAGGAGCTTATATAAACTTTCCCAGGAAGCAGGATTATGAAACAACATATAATGAAAGGAATAGCATCACAAAGTCAATTTCTTATTCATTTTTTCATAGAAGTTTAAGAAAACTACACTGGTCCCAATGCAAACTACAATGTCCACCAGACTGAAGATGACTGAATGTCAGACAAAAACAGAATTTTACAGTTTCAGACCATCTGGCCTAACTCATTTCTGATTAAAAAAAAAAACAACAACAACTCCCGGGTACACCTTGGTCATCTAGTGGCCATTCAGCCTCGAGCTGGAGGCTTCCAGGGATGGGGAGCCTCCTACCTCCTGTCTTTTTTTGGACAGCTCTCATTGTTAGAAGTTCTGCCTCTTTCCAATCTGCCCCCATTGCTCCGGGTTCTATACTCATCGGCTAAAGAGAATAAGTGTGATTCTTCTGCCACAAGCCAGCCCTTCAGGTACTTGAAAATAGTTATTCTGTCCCTCCTGAGTCAGGCAAAACATGTCCACTTCCTTCAACCAAACTTGTCCTGGGGTCTCTTCTCTTTTATTCCTCTATACACACTCACTTTGTGATTTCATCAACTCCCATGGGTTTAATTACCATCTCTATGCCGGTGATTCTCAGATCTATATATACAGCCTTAATCTCTGCTAAGCGCTACTCCCACATCACCAACTGCCTATTGGAATACTTTTTGGATATTTCAGATGAAATATTCCGCAAGCATCCTAAACTCAATAGGTGCAAAGCAGAATTCAGTTTTTGCCTTCCCCCCTTCCTAAACTCACCACTCTTCTGAACTTCTCTTTCTGTCGAAGACACCCCTATACTTGTAGTCTCCCAGATTTGCAACTTCAATATTATCTTTGACTTCTTACCCCAGAGATGTTATCTATTCACTTGTCTGTTATCCTTTCTACCTGCACTGGCATCTGCCCCTTCTCACCACTCATAAGGCCACCACCCTTATTCAGGACCCTATTTTTTTTTAAAATTAGGTAAAAGAGGCCATTCTTTGCTTCCTTTCCACTTAGCCTTAATCACTGAATGGATGTTGCCTCAGTCAAACTGAGACCTGGGAAAGGCCTTAGCTTAAAAAGGCTAAGATCTCCCACTGCATCAGGGCCATCTCCAATTGTTCTGATGTGCATCTTGCCATCGGACCCAAATGACTCTGGAGGAGACAGTGAGGCTGGTGATTTTGCACAACCTCCCTCACTTAAATCCAATTCACTTTCAAGTCATGGCATCACCTTTCTGATGTCATAGCCCTCTTTGAAAACAAATGATAAACAATACCATCTCTCACTGCACTATGGCACTAGCCCCCTAATGGTTCTCTCTGCCTCAAGTTTCCCCTCATTCCAGTCCATCCTTCACTTAGCTACAAAGTGCTGTTCTTTAGGTAAAGCTCTGACTAACTATTTCACTCCCCTTCTCCACAATCTTATGTAGCTTCCAACTCCCTCTAGGAGTCAACAAACTCCTCTGTTTGGCTTTTAAAATCCTTTACAACTCAGCCCCATCTGGCTTTTCCACTATGCCATGCATTCCTTTCCTTCCTGCTCTCTAGTGTTGGGACAAACTGGCCTTCTTGCCATTCATCAAACATAGAATCTCATGTCTTTGCACTGGCCACCCTCCATGCCTAGAATGTAGTCCCTCTGGACCTCTGCCACAGAGAATTTCTCACCTCCTTCAAAATGCACTTCAAGCACAAAGTATGACCCACTCCCCACACTTATTCTTTCCTTTCTAAACTACTCTGTGTGTATTTTAAATTATATATATATATATATATATATATATATATATACACACACACACACACACACACATATAAATAGATATGTATTCTATACATGTACATGTATAGAATATATATTTGCATATGTATAGAATATATTTTGTTCTGTGCAAACATGTATTCTAAATCACCCTGTATTTATTCTGCATACATGTGACACACATACATAAATATCTATTCTAAATTACCTTGTATTTATTCTGTCTATATAGGAAATACACATACATGTACATTCTAAATTATCTTGTACTGATTCCGTATATATGATGTACACATACATATGTATGCTAAATGACCTAGTATTTTATTCTGTAAGTGTATATGATATATATATATATACACCTATTCTAAATTACTTTGTATTTCTTCTGTGTATATGTGAAGTATATATGTGTATCCTAAATTACCTTATATTTATTCTGTGTGTTTGTATACATATGATATATATACACATATTCTAAACTACCTTGTATTTATTCTGCATAAATATGGGTGTTCCTAAAGTCTTAGTACCAGAACTTTTAAACTTAGTACAAAAGTCTTCACCAAGACATATGTGTGTGTGTGTGTGTGTGTGTGTGTGTGTGTGTGTATATATATATGTATATATATATATATGTATATAGGCAGAATATGTATATGTGTATACACATGTATATATGTACACAACACACACATTTACATATATATACACACAGTAGTTTACACGTACACACATTCATAATACAT